TAAATTTTTATCTATTTATTTTTATTTATGCGTATTTTCAGTTATGTTAATGGTTTTATGTTAATTAAATGATAAAAGTATTTAATGTTTTTTATTTAAGGAAAAAACCTATAAAAATTTCATAAATGTTTTGTATGAAACATTTCTGTTATGTTCTGAAAGTAAATATAAAATGTCTTAAAGACATACCTACAACATTCTAAGATGATCTCAAAACATCCTAAAAGGATGGCCGAGGGACGTTAAAAAGGGCGACATGGTCATTGCCAGAAACATTTCTGGTATATCTGTGGGAAAATAGGGTCATTCCTGGGATGTTTCTATTGTCGCATGCATATGTTTCTGGCATGTTTCTAGTATATACTTGTGTTATTAGGGATAGTATTCAAAAACGATTCTAATAAATATTATATTACAGGACAATGCACCAGTTCACACAGCTCGCGTGGTTACAGAGTGGGTAAACAACAACCACATAACTGTTTTGCCATGGCCAGCTAGAAGCCCTGACTTAAACCCCATTGAAAACGTGTGGGGTTTTATAGTTAAAAATATATATCAACGGGACTTTAGGCCAGCAAACCGAGATGAACTATGGAGTGCTGTTGAAAATTCTTGGGATGAGCTTGCTGATTCATACGACATGCGTGAGCTAATAATGTCCATGCCAAGAAGGTTGCAAAGGGTTGTGGCAGCTAATGGCTCTGCAATTAAGTATTAAAATAGCTTAGCAGCACAGTTTTTTAAGCCAGCTTGTTTCAATCTTTTTTGAGCTGTTCGAAGAGATCCTGGAAATTGTGTATCTTCTCGGGCCTTAAATGCGCTATTGAAAGGATTTTGCCTAATAAGTGCGACAAGAGCATTGTCTTCATTTTCGTTGGAGATTTTACCTACACCTTGCCTGATAGGTCTTCTCAATCTTTGTTGTTTTTGCCAACGTTTTTTGATATAAAATATGCAGCTTTTACTGACATTTAAATCTGCCGCTATTTCACTTAAAAACCAATTTTCTTGAGCAATATGTTAATTTAGTTATGTTATTTTTATTGTGTATTTACCTACTTGTTAATTTATATTGTTGTATAAAACCAAATTAAAGTTAATTTATTTGTTATATTGTTTATATTATTGTTTGTTAAAATATTATTAAAAAAATAGAACGATTTTACCTACACCTTGCCTGATAGGTCTTCTCAATCTTTGTTGTTTTTGCCAACGTTTTTTGATATAAAATATGCAGCTTTTACTGACATTTAAATCTGCCGCTATTTCACTTAAAAACCAATTTTCTTGAGCAATATGTTAATTTAGTTATGTTATTTTTATTGTGTATTTACCTACTTGTTAATTTATATTGTTGTATAAAACCAAATTAAAGTTAATTTATTTGTTATATTGTTTATATTATTGTTTGTTAAAATATTATTAAAAAAATAGAACGATTTAGGATATTGTTCTTATTCTTAGTATTCTCCCTTCTATATGTAACACCACTGGCCGAAGCCAGGAATGAACGAATAAATTTTATGAAAAAAATCCATGACAACAAAAAATCGTTCACATTTCGGAGACGCCAATTGAATAGGTCAATGCAGAAACTGAATATGTCCACTTTTTGGGGAAATTGAGTTAAACATGGATTTACTATAAGTAAAGGGTGCCCGATCGAATGGCGTAGAAATTTCACATGTCACGGTAATCTAGATTATACAAAGGCGTTAATATAGTACAGAAACTGAATATGTCCAGGACATGTTCACTTTCTGAGCTATATGTCAGTTGTTTCAGAATATTGATGAAGAACATGAAGAATTTTACCAGGATATATTACATTGGCCTACGAAAGAAAAAGAGGAAGACAGTGAAGTAGAAACAGAAAATGTTTAAAAAATGTTTTGAGATTATTATTGAATTTGTTTTATTTTTATTTTTGCATTAGGAATAAGTATGTTTATTTTTTACTAGATACTAAAACGGTTTATTACATATTTTATAAGTTTTATTAGCAATCAATGCAGAAACTATATATGTCCACAACCTGTGTGATTTTTTTTCTCTAAGAATTCAAAACTTTTAATACTCCAAATCATGTCTTCGTATCTACAAAATAGTTTACTTTCATATCCCAAACATTTTTGGATATCCATTAAAGCAACGCTAAGTTATTCAGTTTTTCTTAGTTATCTCTAAACTAGGTAGGTAGGACATATTCAGTTTCTGCATTGACGTATTCAATTGTACTTGTATTGACACTATGGGTATATTAGCTGACAGTGTAAGGAACATAATAAATGCCGTTTATTTAAAACTATTTTATGGATAAAACCAGATATAATATATTAACATATTATGTAGACCATATGCACAAAAATTTTACTTATTTGGCACTATATTCTTTAGAATTTCATTAAATGCAGTATTTATACTCCTAAACTCTTAAACCAACCATTGTTACTGTGATACTATAAAGATTTATAAACTTTTAACGCTTAAACATAAACGGTAACAGTTTAAATATTATTTCTTTCATTGAATATACTTTGACAGATACATAACCTGAAAAGCCTTAAATGACAAATTTTCAAAAGACTGCGTTCCGTACCTGGTCACGTGGTGGGACTTTGAAGTGTGGAGCATAGTACATACATATATTATATTATAAGTTAATTAAGACAAAACATTAATTAATAAAATAAAATGTTAGAGGAGAACGAAAACAAAATTACTAAAACTTTTAGTCTAAAAGTCATCCTCGTCGGAACTGTCTTCTCCAAGGTGGATAACTAGTTCTGGCACGTCATCGACCATTCTTGTCTTTTGGAACCAATCGTCAATTAATTTGTTGGTGTGCCTCACTATTGAACACCAACGTTCTGGCGTGAATTGGTTCAGTACTTGGCCCCACATTGCTAGCACTTTATTGTCGCCATAGCCGTCTTCCCCCATGTGGGAATCATAATATGTTTAGCCTAAAAGAGAATTCGTTGTTGCAAGCGCCCATCTGATTGTTTATGTATGTACCTGCGCCCATATAAGTTCAATGGCATTGAACTGGCAGTGATATGGAGGCAGACTCATCAACTTTGTAACGCTTAGGCGGGGTGTGGTAGCGTGCCAGGAACAGCAATTCCGCTTTAAATATACCTTTGATAAACTGAACATTATGTTCTGTTAGCCACTCTTCTATTTGCTGTTTTTTCCAAGCACTTGTAGGGTGACGCTCAACAACGACGCTGTGGTAAGGAGCGTTGTCCATCACAATCAGTGAGGGTTCCTTCAAATTTGGCACCAACTTTTCAGCTACCCACCTTTCGAATAATTCACCGTTCATATCCCCGTGGTAATCTGCCAGCTTCGATTTAGTCCCAAAAATGAGGGAGGCGTTATCAACGCTTTCCCTCACTTGCACTTGGCCGGCGCACCCCCTTCGCTGTTCCATCCTGCCATGAACGTTTACATGAGCCTCTTGAAAAAATCCAAGTCTCATCTAAAAACATAATTTGAGCTGATCATTAAGAGTATTCAGGGTTAAGTGCTTTCCTACAAATGAAACACATCAATGCAGAACCACTATTGTTGGTCATTGTGACCCAAATAACTATAAACCAACCTGCGGCATACATGTCATAAATTGCCTTCCTTATTTCCATTTTGGAGGCTTCTGGTAAATCCGAGGTCTATAATTTTTTACGACGTGAGTATGGAAACTTGGCCTTTGTTTTTCTGCCAGAAGGTTGGGCTGGGGCCTCGTCTAATGCTTGTGCTTTCCGCAAAGCATTGCCCACTGTATTAACCGAAATGCCAAAGGCATTCGCCACACGCTGCAATCGGAAGTTGTTTTTGGCCCATTGCTAAACTGTTCCCACCGAGCATTTGGATTCTCGGGTGGAGGTCAGAGACATGCGCTGTAGTGAAATAGCGGTTATATTTTCATATTGCGCATGCGATTTTACTATTGCACATGTCTTTGACCCTAAAGTAAACATGCTCTGTAGAAACAAGCCTAACATAGCTTACCTCTTGGACACAGTTTAGTGGGAGCAGGAGTCCCCATGCTCCAGTTCCCTTTGAAAATATTGCACTAAATTAATAATAAAACGTTTCTGATTATCGTCCAAACGTTTGCAAGACATTTTTTAAAACCTGTCAAACTTCCAAAATCTGTTCTTTAATGCCAAATTACTGTATGAACGCCACTGACTAACCTTCAAATTTTGATAAATTTCGGCTCAATGCCACAACAAACTATACGCGCTCTGTCCTTTTTCAGCACAAGCCGCGTGAGCGCAACATCGGATTGACGTACAATTTCTACCCCAATTATATATAGATAGAACAATATGCATCTTTAATACTTAAAACAAGACTAACCTGAATAAAAAAAAGAAAATGCAGATAGAACACTATAATTCTCAGGTGACGATTTGTCAATAATTTATAATATAAGGGTCACATAATAACAAACACAAAATGACTTCGCGACCAACCGTGTTACAAAATACCGCGCGCCTAACGTTGGCTAACGGATGGTTCAGATGCAAGTCGGCACGGGTTTCCGTTTATAGAATGAGCTGAAATTTTTACTGGAAGTATATAAACACGTAATAAATATAATTAGAGGGTATGCGTAAAAAAAATAAAAATAAGGGACACCCTAATATATATATATATGTATGTATTTATATATACATTTATGTATATATTTTTTATGGCGGTGTATTTCGAAAGGGCGGCCGTTTCAAGTTTGCCCGGAGCGGCCAAAACCTTAGAGACGGCCCTGCTAGGAAGTGCCCGCGAAGTAAGAGAAACTAAGCAGCAACTTTATTGAAAATAGGCAAAATATTGAAAATATATCAAAATTCAAAAATTTCATAAAAATGTACCAACATAGACCCTGTACCACCAAAGCACCAAACGTACCAAAAAGGTACAAATGTACCACCTCTGGCAACACTGACCCCGAACCCAATATAAGTAAGTACCTTTAGTATCTCAAACTCTGCGATCGTATGCTGCGACTGTCTGGTTACCAGACTCTGGTAGTTTAAACGTCCTTGGCATTGACAAACAAATTAAAAAAAAATCTCAAATGCTCGACACATTGCGAGCACGCAAAATCGCCGCCACTATAAATCAGTCGAACGCGTGGTTTAGTTAAAGTAACATGTCATGAGCTACCTGCCTAGTTTTACGATTTTTGAAATGGACGCGTGGACTGTGGGAATAGCCATCGCGGCGGTCGCCTTGGTCGCCCTGATTCTTAAATTTATTAATTCGCAGATGCGGATTAAGCGAAAATTAAATTGGATGCCGCACGTGCCTGGGTGGCCTGTCTTAGGAAATGCTCTGGAGTTTACGGACAGTGGAAGTAAGTACAAGAAAGTTAATTTTCTATTAAATGTAAAAAAAATACAAGCAAGTTTTGTAGTTTTTTGTTGTTTAATTTTTTGTTTTTATATGATCAGGGGCGGACCCTTGACTTTGGGGGCCCTGGGCTAAAGATCTTTGGGGCCTATCAATACCACTAGGTACATTTTTAACTTTTGAAATATTTCAGCTAAACGCTCGGACACGTAAACATAATTTTCGGTCAAAGATTCCAAATCCGTGCTCGGTTTACCTGTATCAGGTCTAAAAAAGTGTTTCCTATTGGCAATCCGATCCGGGGACAGAACATTTCAGTTACCTTTCACGAACACACACATGTATTTTTTTTTTAATTATTTAATTTATAAAATACAAAATTAAGGAAATTAAATGAACGTGACAATTAAGAAACTAAGAGAAGAATGAATATAAAATTAAACTTAAGAAATATTATACAGGGTGTCCTGAAATTAGTGCACCATACTTTAACAGCAGATTCTACGTGCAAAAATAAGAAAAAAGTGAATTTTTATGCCATGTAAAATAATTTTCAAATCGATTTTATGCGAAAACGGTGTATGTTATCGAAGTTCAACAAGATGACCTTTTTTATGTGCAAAACTCTAAAATTTTATAATCTGACACCAAATTCTGGTACAAGATACGTACAAAAAAGTTAAGGTGGTTTTACCCAACCCAAACCACATAAAAAATTTTAAATTGTTATTGTTACGTCTTATTGGTCATAAAAAGTTTAATTAATTCCCCAAATTTAATTTTTATATTTTTAACGGTTTTGGAGATATTAAATAAAAACCATCTTCAGGGGCTTTCCTTTTGGGGGCTGTAGCTTCCTTAAGAGGCATTTCTTGACCTATGTTTATAGGGACTTTTTTTCTTATTTTTGCACGTACAATCTGCTGTTAAAGTATGGTGCATTAATTTCAGGACACCCTGTATATCAATAAAAAAATTAGCAAAATAACATTTTAAATTTCCTAAATTATCTAAAAAAAACCGTTTGATCAATTAACCTCAAATTTTGCAAGAATTTTTTTTATTTGAAACCTATGTCGGGGTCCAGCCGAGGGGTCACCCACACCTGGGAATCCCTGGACATTTTAGAGGGGGAATACCATAGGAATACATAGGAATACAATAAAATATAATGGGAATACATGGGAATCCCTGGACGTTTTCCCTTTCGGTGGTTGACCCCTCGGGTCCAGCCCAATTGACCAAGCACGTTTGTAATCTTCGACCAAAAATTATGTTTATGTGTCCTCTAGCTGTGGTATTTTCACCTCCCTGCAGTGTAATATACAGTCAAGTGCATTGAATCAGTACCACCCTAAGGCTTATATTCGCTTGCAGCCATTGCGAGGTGGTGGGATGAAAATTATTGCCTTAACGTAAACAAACTTATTTGGGTATTTCTTACCTGAACCGGTATAAGATTTATTGTTTCATATTTATTTTGATGAGTTTTGACGTTATTTTTGTAATAATATTTTTTTTTAATTTTATCAATGCCAATTGGTATTGGTATTAATAGATATAATAGACTTTTTTAAAGTTAAACATAGGCTTTTTGGCATAAAATACTACTAATTTTTATTAAACAAGTGCCATAATATAGATATTATCTAAAATTTGTTACCCACCTACGCACGCACACCCTCTAAAAAATTAAAAAATATAAGCGTTAAAAAATATAAAATAAATATAAAATATAATTTTTTTTTTGTATTAATTTAGTACCATAAAACGGGGCGACTTGATACACTTTTTGGAATATTTGAGCACACGCCGCCATCACTATGACGATTTGATTGAAATAAAATAATATTTTAGATTACTTTGGGGTAGTGGCTACAGGGTGAAATACCTAAAAAATTATACCCCCCTCTACTCTCAAAAAAATATATATGTATAACGGGTGTTTCTTTAAGTCGTCCCAGGTTGGGGCGCATTAACATTGTATTTTAGAAAAATATTGGGGCGACTTGAAAGATAGAATATCATATTTTATATATGGGGCAAAATTTGCCAAGTGTACCAGGTGAAAAAATTTTTGTCACCGATTTTGTTTAAACTTTACTTATTTGTTGTTATTATAACGAAGAATCATAGCATAAAATTTTTTTGCTCTAGGATTGTTCATTTAAGAGTTATGGATTATTGAAATTTATCGATTTTTTACTTTTTGGTGAAATCGCTTTTTATTTAAAAATTCATAACTTCTGTTCATCTCTTTATAAAATATTTTAATTTAACCACCTTAAATGATTTTTTCCGTACTTTTCAATGGGCTATACCGTTTTTGCAAAAAAATAAAAATTGCAATTTTTTTTTGAAATTTTGCATTTTTTAAAACAATGTGTATTTTTTAATTTTTTTTAAAATATCATAAAATCCAAGTTTATTATGTTACCTTTGAATAAAAAAAAAATTAGAGTGGGCCCGACATGTAGAAGGGAAGTTTTTCATATTTGAATGCCGCACGGTCTAGCCATCGAATAGCTACTATAGTATACACTGCCGTATGCGTTTATACCTAGTAGATGCGAGTAAACGAATACAAAATGATAATTTAAAATGTAAAATTATGTTTGAGTAATCAATGATGTATTTTAAATATTTACAATGCCGCAGGATATAGTTTTTTTTATTGTGTAATAGTCCTTCGGAGGGGACTTTAAGCCCGCGGTCCGTTCCTACCCCTAACCCGCACAAGCCATTCAGTTGGCTTATGGGACTTCTTAAGAAGTAAGGGTGGAACTAAAAGAGCACTTTTGTATATAAACTGTATATTTTTGCACAAATTGTTTAAGCATGGGTCTACATAGATTTCGCAAGGAGGGTCGATGATGTTAAATAAAAAATGTATTGTTATAACCGTAAAGGCGCCATTCAGCTTATAGGTAAGCCGTTACGGTTATAACAATAAATGTTTTATTTAATATCATCGATCCTCCTTGCGAAATCTATGTAGACCCATGCTTAAACAATTTGTGCAAAAAAATACAGTTAAAAAACTATATCGTGCGGCAGTGTAAATATTTAAAATACATCATTGACTACTCAAACATAATTTTACATTTTAAATTATCATTTTGTATTCGTTTACTCGCATCTACTAGGTATAAACGCATACGGCAGTGTAGTAGCTATTCGATGGCTAGACCGTGCGGCATTCAAATATGAAAAACTTCCCTTCTACATGTCGGGCCCACTCTAAATTTTTTTTTTATTCAAAGGTAACATAATAAACTTGGATTTTATGCTATTTTAAAAAAAATTAAAAAATACACATTGTTTTAAAAAATGCAAAATTTTGCAAAATTTCAAAAAAAAATTGCAATTTTTATTTTTTTGCAAAAACGGTATAGCCCATTGAAAAGTTCGGAAAAAATCATTTAAGGAGGTTAAATTGAAATATTTAATAAAGAGATGAACAGAAGTTATGAATTTTTAAATAAAAAGCGATTTCACCAAAAAGTAAAAAATCGATAAATTTCAATAATCCATAACTCTTGAATGAACAATCCTAGAGCAAAAAAAATGTATGCTATGATTCTTCGTTATAAGAACAACAAATAAGTAAAGTTTAAACAAAATCGGTGACAAAATTTTTTTCACCTGGTACACTTGGCAAATTTTGCCCCATATCCTGCTACGAAAATCGTTTTTTTTTTAAGAAAAATAGTTTTTTTTTAGGAAAAACAGTTTACTGTTCGGTTTGACCAACAAATAATTTTGTGTGCTTCCCTTTATTTTTTCTATATAAAGTTTAAACGCAATTTTATATTCTTCACTTGAGTCTCTTAAGTTTCGACCCTGGCTTTCTTTTATATGTTAAGTCGCCCCTAAAATAAAAAAAATAAAATAAAACGCCACTAATAAATTTGACATGAATATTAAATTTTGGGATTAGATTCTAACCGTTAGAATATGAATGCCTACTAAATTGCTGTCCAGGAAAAAATATGTCATTATTAAAGCCTTTTTAGGAATCTCTGTATAAAAGAAAGTGTGTTAAAAAATTATTTTTTTTTTATGTAGGTGCACAATAAAATCAACAGATATTTTAATATTCAATTTTTAACCCCTAGATAGTAGCCTGTATTTTGGTCAAGCGCTGCAAAGAGTTTCAAGTCGCCCCGTTTTACGGTATTTCCTTTTACTTTATCTTTCTTACCGAAATATTCAATTCTCTTGATATTTGCGATATATTTTGCCTTTCCTCATGCAAAAACGTGTGACCTTGGTTAAGACAGAATAAATTAAGTGGTTAAGATACTAGAGTAGGCGGAGCTATGACTGAGCATCGCAAGCGATTTTTGAATTGCCTTGGTACTGACTTATTGCACTCGACTGTACCTATACAAAACAACAAATTCTTACGTCAAAAATAAAAATGCAAGAAAAAAATAACTCTTCTTCCTAATAAAATAAATGAATAACATAAATATAATAAATAAAACATTCTAGCACTTATACAAGGTGTCCCGATAAGACCTGTACAATGCAAGGGCACATATTTCTTTGTTTAAAATAATTCGAGTTAACCCAGCTTAATAAAAATTGCTTTATTTAGATGCTAGCAGCCTTTAAAATAAAATCTACATTTTTTTTCTATAAAATTTAATAGCCTCATGGACCTGTTAAAGTATCACCCATTAATATTATTGGTTGCTAAACGCGATTTAACATTTAAATGAATGAGATTTTTTTTATTTTAGAAATACCTACGTAGAAAACAATTAGAACTTTTATTTTAGAGAATTAAACGCTCCACAATACAGATTACTTATTATTTTATGATAAATCTAGCTACTCGTTAAAAAGTTATTTAAGACTTGATACAAATTTATAGTAAATTTTAAGTTTTAGTTACAAAATGTTGACATTTATCATACACTTTTTGTAGATCATTTTATTAACAATATTTCCTTAATTTTTTTACTCTTTTATTTATGATTTACTGGTTTAACCAGT